AATGTAATTGTGTTGTATACCTATAATGTACCAATAAAAGAATTTAATACAAAAAAAACAAAAAAAAAAAACCAAAAGTTAATTTATTTTTGTTCAGTTCTTCAATTTTCTTTGCCTCATGGACATAGAAATGATCTGTGTGGAGCTTTTTTTTCATTTTGAACATGTGAAATATTAATACAATATTTTTGCTTCAATCAATTATACAAAAATACTCAATAAAGTTTAGTTTAAGGGAAAGACATGATTTATAATATAATTTTATTTTAATCATCAAAATGTTAAACCACAATCTTTAGGATATTTTCATCTGGAGGAAAACAAGGTATATTTTAAAGCCAGAATTTGTTTCAGAAACAGAACTATGACATTCTTATAAGAGAAAGAGTTTTGTTGCTTTCAACTTAGAGAATTTTTATAGACTAAAGTTAACTGGAAAAGTACAGAAAGATCATAAGCTGTCATCGGTTTAATCGACTGTTCATTTTTCTGCATATGTAAGTGGAATGCTTTAAACAAAAAAGAGTGTCCTTTTACTTCCAGTGACTATACCTGCCTAACTTCCACTGATTATACTACATAAATATTTGCCCTCAGAATTCTTGTCAGCTTGAATATAAAATATCCACATATTTGTACATTTGGCAAAAGGATGGTAATTCTGCTCAGACCCCAGAGTGAGCACTTTGACAAACACACAGAAAGCACTGAAGCTTAAAGTACTTAGTTGTTCCTTTTCTTTTCATTCATATGTGTAGCTTTTAAGTGAAGAGAGACTAGAAATTTTACCAGAAAGAAAATTGGAAATTCCCCAAATGATAATATAACAAAAAATACATTATCCACAGTCTTCTTCATTATGATATTCTTTTTTTCCACTTTTTGGGTAAGCAATTTTCCATGTTTTAGGCTTATCATTGAGAGGCCCTTTTATATGACTCCCACCACATAAAAGTTGGCCGGGTTGCATCATTCATACTGAATATTCTCTCCCACACAGAAAGAAGGCTGGGAGCCCAACTTCATAGTCTATGTCAGCAGAGAAATGCTTATTAGGATAATGTTGAATACTTGTTTGCTTTGAAATATGTGCACAATGGAGAGAAGATTCTCATGTTGGAGAATTTAGATCAGAAAGTAATCTTAATAATAATTTCTTTTCTTATTTACATATGATCACATTGAGATCAAATGGGATCCTGGGAGTGAAATATTTCCACTACATTGCTAGTGATACAAGCAAATAACTGTGTGGAATTCTGAAGTCAGAAGTATTCACTGTAATCTAGTAAATGCTTTAGTTAGTTTTTTTTATATTTCATATACATATAAAATCAGAAGCTAGAGTTACCACTGACACATACTAATTTGTTGTGAAATCCTCAACAAATGACCACATTTTTCCTCATTTGCATGCTGTTAAACATTAGAAATCTCACTTTTGCACAGAAGGAGTAGTGAGGGCTATCAAGCACAATGATTTTGACTGTACAGACAAAGATAAAATATGAGTACTCTGGCTAAACCCAGAATCTTTGATTCCCAGACCTATATTTGTGTTTCTGATATTATTTGGTTTTCAATGTTAAAACATTTATAAATAAATAATAAAGTTTTTTGAATTTTATTTCCACTGCCAGAAGAACTGCTCTAATTAATTTGATCCTTTTTTTTATCAACAGTGTCACATAAATAAAACATATTCCATTCTGTCTTGTTTTCCTGGCTCTAAGAGAGGGTAAATGGATATGTGTTTCTTGACAAGAGCATCAATTAGATGAAAGAAAACTCCAGAATTTCAAACTGGAAGGAACATTACTTTAAAAACATTATTTTAAGCCATTGTATTTTTAAAAAACAAAGAAATATATAAAAGTTTCAATGTGGTTAAATTTGTTTTACCTAAGAAATCAGTACTAAAACCTAGCTCTACTAATTCTCAGAGTTAGTGCTTCTTCTACTATAGAATGTATTCAAAAATTTTTAAAAGATCAAAAAGTGATAAGGGCAGAAATCTATTTTCATAAATTTTATCATCATACAGATTTTTTGTAGATGTAATTATTTCATTTAACATAAGTACCATAAATTTGATAGAAATCTTATAAATACAGTCAATTCAAAAAAATGCATTTCCATCCTACAAGTTCTGTGGAGATTTCCCTATGAATTAATATCTTCAAATCTCTGCAATTTTCACCTTGATGTATTTTTCTCTGAGACGCTCTCTTTCACAGGTAATTTACTAATAATATGAGGCAAGGAAAATCTACTTCTTTCTCTAAGATACAGTTTTGGAAAGTGTGCTGATTATGTTTCTGTAATATTATGGTGTATTACTATTTAAGGATTCCTGATCATTGGTCACACAGTGCAAATAAAAAACAAATGCCCCATAATTAGAAAAAATAAAGTGTAGTTGAAATTAATTTAGTACAATTTATTTGGCAGGAAAGTCATATATTATATTCAATTCAGAATAGCAACTATTTTAAGGAGGTTTGGTCATTTACTTATGACTGTCTTTAAACCTTATTTCATTAATGGCAGAAAAAAATCAAAGTGATGCACACAGGAAATAAGGAATATTTACCCACCTGTCTGACAGAGTCATGAGCACATACCTTGGGCAAGAAATGGCCGTCCATGCACAGATTCTGAAAGGATCATCACACAGAACAAAGTTAGAAATCCAAAGCAAAGAGGAGTTGTAAAGGTCTTCTTCATGTTAAAAATCTGTGTCAGCAGATAAACTCATGATCAGGGTCAAGACAGATAATTCAATGTCTGTGTAATACAGCACAGCTCCCTTTAAGGAGAAGCATGCTTCAATTACAAAGCTTCTAGATGAAGAAAAACTTCATGAAATGTAATGCATCCTATCAACATGATTCACAACTTGGAGAAGTGACAGGTGGTTACAAAATCAATGGCAGCAGGGCAGGGGATTTATCTCAGTGGTTCTGGTGCCTGCCGCCTAAGCACAAGGTCCGGAGTTTGATCCCAGGTACCTACCAAAAAACAAAAAACTCAATGGCAGGAAGAAGCCAATCAATATATCTCACACCAGCCCTTTTCACTAAAAGCAGGCATCTCTACACATGGCCATGTACTCAAACAGATGCAAAAAGCAGAAAGCACAAACTTGGAATTCTGTTGGCTGGATTGTCATAATTTATTGTGTAATATTCTGATTCCAGGACGAATTCACCCTAAAAACCTATTAATACTAAGGACAAGGACATAGAAGGCAAGTAAAAGTGGAAACAATTTCTGTTTGACTAATTTAGAACAAAGGAATGGTTTTCCTGATAGCAATGCAAACATTATTTCATTCTTTTAAAAAAATTATTATAGTAATTTTAACACATGTACTTACATTCATTTTGCAGAATTAGTACAAAAACATATTGCATTTTGATCATTTTAGCTTTACCCCTGCAAATAGATTAAAGTTGGGAAGAGCTGAAATGCGAAATGAATGATAGTGGAATAACATTACTGTCTCACTGTGTTGGAGAAGAATGGTTCCATTTTGCTGCAACCAGCACTTTTATAAATTAAATCTTCCTTGAATTAATTCAGAGTTGGCAAACATCTCATCAATTACTCTCTTTAATACTTTCTTTAATTGTGATGGTTTTCTTTTTAAGTCAAAGTCTTTCAGCATATTTTCAATGCCAGTTTTATGGCTCCAGAGATGCTCTAATGACCTCTAGTCTTGGTTCTTATTTCTTCCAAGGACTTAAGATGCATCAACTCTAAGGCTAATTCAGTTCCAAGTGCACACACTGAAGGCCAGGATGATACTGAGCAGGGGCAATAACCAAATTTTTCATTAGCGTTTTGATTTAACAATTTTTTTTGGTACCGGGGTACAGGTACATTTTCCTGAATAAAGTCTAAACTATTCAGCTTGATATTTAGCCTTGTTTTGCTTTTATGGGTTCACTTACCACTCCTAATTCCTAAATATATACCATATACCATACTTTCTCCAGTCCAGTACTTTGCTGACATAATTCTATCTGCTGGGAATCTTTTTTATCCTATGACCATTTTACCTGCCTAATCAAATGCCACAAGCTCTGTTTAGACTTTTGTTGTGTGTGTGTGTATGTATGTATGTATGTATGTATGTATGTATGTATGTTTTCAGACATAAATTTTCCCTCCTTTGGACTGTCATAGCATGTTGCTTATATATATCATGCTCAAAAATCCATTCTCCTTTTTATTACAGTCATGCATTTGTGTCTGCCTCCACTACTAAATTGGAAATTATTTCCAGGCGATCAGTCTTTTCTGTCCCTGGTCCCACGCTTCACAGTGATGAGAGGGAAAATTAAGTGCAAGCATGTTGTACATGTGAAAAATAATAACTTAAATTTCTGGTAATTGAAAGGTAAAAATAGAATAATATCTTTAAAACTTTTAAATTTTGTTATAATAGCAAATGAGTTGAAAGAATAATTTGAATACTTAATTGTCTGCTTTTTCTTATCTCAAAATACAATAATCAACAATGTCTTAGAACTTAATCCTAGAAGGTTACTGTACCATAGTGTTTTAAAACCTGTCATTCAAATCCTTCCTGATGGTATCTGTCATCCACTTAGTAAGATATTTAGATGATGTCAAGATGAACAGTAAGAAATTGGTATTACTTAATGTGCAGAGAATAGGCAAACATGATGAATTTAGTGTAATTCACATATTAAAGGAAAAAGTAAAAGATAATATGTAAAATAGATGCATAATCCATCAAACTAATAATCCAAAATTAAGACCCAATAATAAATTTCCCAATGAAATAGGCAAGTTAAATATGTGATATATTCAGTTTGTGTATCCTCAAATTAAAAGAAAAAATTTAAATATAAGATTTTAAAAATATAAAGCAGATTTTAAATATAAATTAAGGTATCAAATTTAAATAAGATTTACTTATATGTACATTTAAATATAAATAGGGTTTTATTTGAAGTTTTAATGTAAAATGCACAAGGAACCCCAATTCTCATAGATGTTTGTGTAACTTCTGGGATTTTTGGGGAAGGTTTTGTTATGTTAGGAATGGAACCTACCGCCTTGTGGATGCTAGGCAAGCACTCTACTCGCTACATTACACTCCAGCCCTGATGTTTTTATGAAAGTAGCAAAGTAATTTAACTGTCCTCTGATAAGGCTGAATACTATTCATTTGTAAACAAAATAATACTTATGACATTTTATTCATAAATTTTCTTCCACAAATTTCAGTTGTAGGAAATCTAATACAATCTCGTCAATCTTTCCTTCTGTCATATTTTGAGGAATATTGACCAAAAAAATGATGAAAGAAAAGTATCTGTCCTTCAGAAATGAAGGAGAAAAACAAAGTGTTCCAGACAAATAAAATATAAGGGAGTTGATCACCATCAGACTTCTTTTACAAGAAATCCTAAATGAAATTCTCCATGCTAAAGAAAAGGACACTAGCATATAATGGATGAAATATAAAACTCCCTCATAAAAATCAGAATGCAGTCAAATTCAGAACACTCCCAGTACAGTAATGGTGGTTGTAAATCCCTCAAATCTTTAGTATAAATGTTAAAAGACAAAACTATTAAAAATAATACCTACAATAATTTGTTAAAGAGCATAGATATAAAAGGACATAAATATGGATAGGAAAAGTATAAAATATGTATGGGATAAAGTCACAATATAGTTTTTATGCAATCAATGTTAAATTAATATCTTAGAATACTCTGCTTTAACTATGAGATATTTTATGTAAATCTCTTCATAACCACAAAGCCAAAATCTGCCGAAAATGTACAAGTACAAAGTAAGCAGGCAAAGTGTTCTACTAGAGAAAATTTCCAATCACAAAGGAAAACAAGAGAGGAAGAAAGAACCCACAAAACAAGAAAACAATTTAAGAAATACCTGTAGTGAGTCTTTACCTATCAATAATTACCATGACTGTAGGCAGATTAAATTCTCTGATCAACAGACATACATAAATATATTTGAAAAGTGAGACCCAATTCTATGTTACCTACAAGATACTCATTTCCCTTGTAAGGTCATGCATAGATTAAAAGCTGAAGGATGGAAAATACTTTCATGTCAATCCAAACCAAAAGAGAACAGAGTAAATTTATATTGGGTAAAATAGACTTTAAGTATAAACTACAAAATAAGACAAGTATGGTAATTATATAATAATAAATAGATCATGCATCAAAAGGATTGTCACAAATATAAATATATATGTCTCAAACATCACAGCACCTAATTACATGTTTATAAAGCAAGTACAAATTAACTGAAGGGAGAGACAGACTGCAATACAATAATAATAGGTGATTTCACATCTCGCTTTCAACAATGCCAGGTCACACAGACAGATCAATAAGAAAGTACCAGATTGTGCTTGCTTCGGCAGCACATATACTAAAAAGAAAGTACCAGACTTACTCTATAACAAATGGACCTAACAGATATACACAGAACATTTCACCCAACAGCATCAGCACTTACAGGATGTAATAAAAAATGTTATTTGAATGCTTATTTTAAAAATGTGTACAGTAAAAGACATATTATCATTAATCTCCTTCAAAACACTCCTCATTCCAAACACACTTATCCCATCATCTTGCTACTTTCTGAAGAAGTTCTGAATGTATTCTTTCCTGAGTCTCTTTACAAGCTAGAACAACAAATACAAATACAGTGACTGCTGCTATCAAATGTCATCCAACAAAAAAGCAGGCTCATAAAAACATTATGGTATGTCCTCATTTACTTTTTTCACTATATCTAGCACTATGACACTTCTAGCTCCTCCTCAAAGTCAAAATGCCCATGAAAGGTAAAGGTTCTGAAATGATTCCAGACTTTGAGGCTACCACAACAGCACAACTAAAGATATTCAAGAAAGACCACTTTGAGAACTATCCCAAAATGTGGCAAGATTGGTGGGATATGTATATTCAAAGCAAGAGGGGAGTAATCAGAGGGGGATTCGTGGCAATAGGTCTTTTAATGTAAGAATTTTTAACAGGCATATTTTTCAATCATACCTTGTACATTCTTCTCAAGTGTGTATACCATTCTCCATGATATGTTAAACCACAAAATAAATCTCAACAAGTTTGAAGTTTAAAATCATTTCGGATATCTTTTAAAACAATGATATTAAATCATAAATCAATGACAAAGAATTTTGGAAAACTCATCAATACACGGAAATTAAATGATGTGCTCTTGAACAACCAGTGAAAAAAGTAGAAATTAAAAGAAAAATTTAAAAATATCCAGAGAAAAGCAGAAATAAATATAAATCATACCAAAACTTGTTGAATGAAGCAAAAGCAATTCTAAGAGGGAAGTTTATGTCAATAAATACCTACATCCCAAAAGAAAGATCTCAAACAGCCTACAGTTATGCCTCAAAAAACAAGAATAAACTAAGCCCAAAGTTAATAGGAAGAAGGAAATAATAAAGACCAGAGCAGAAATAAATAAAATAGAGGATAGAAATACAATTAAAACTCAATGAAAGTAAGACTTGTTCTTTTTAGAAGATAAACAAAGTCCACAATTCATTCTCTTGACTAAGAAAAAAGAGAGGAGACCCAAGTAAAACTGGAAATGTGATGGGAGTTATTAAAACCGATTCTACAGAAACACAAAGCATCTGAGCCTTCATAATCAAGCATATATCAGCA